GCCACTGTCGAGGGCTGCTGGGGGGTCCACGCAAATTCATATTTGACCTCATCATCCCTCGGGGGAGCTGCCAGGGGGTCCCGCAGAGTGACGTCCTACGCAAGTTCAGATTCGACCTCGCCATCCGTTTGGGGCTGCGAAGTGTGAATCTGCCGTCACTTTCGAAGGCTGCTGCGGGGTCCAGCGTAGTGACGTCCTACGAAGATTCAGATTCGACGTCGCCATCCCTGGGGGGCTGCGAACTGTGAGCCCATCGCCCCTGTTGAGGGCTGCTGGGGGTTCCAGCATAGCGACGTCCTAAGCAGATTTAGGTTGTACCTCGCCATCCCTTGGGGTCTGCGAGCTGCGAAACTGTCGCCACTGTCGAGGGCTGCGGGGGGCTGCGAAGTGTGAATCTGTCGTCACTTTCGAGGGAAGCAGGGGGGTCCAGCATAGCGACGTCCTATGCAGAGTCAGATTCGACCTCGCCATCCCTGGGGGGCTGCGAACTGCGAATCTGTCGCCACTTTCGAGGGCTGCCGGGGGGTCCCGCAGAGTGACGAACTACGCAAATTCAGATTCGACCTCGCCATCCCTGGGGGGCTGCGTGTGGCGACACTGTTACAGCTTTCGAGGGCTGCTGTGGGGTCCAGCACAGTGACGTTCTACGCAGATGCAGATTCGACCTCACCATCCCTGGGGAGCTGCGAACTTCGGAACCGTCGCAACTTTCGGGAGCTGCTGGGGGGGCCGGCATAGTGGGTGTTCAAATTGAGCCTCTCCCTCCTTTGGGGAGCTGCGAAAACTGCGAAAGTGTCGCCACTATCGAGGGCAGCTGGTGAGGGCCAGCATAGTGGGCATCCGCCGCGGACTCAGACTAGACCTCGCCATCCCTGGGGGGGGCTGCGAACTGCGAAATGGCCGCCGCTTGCCAGAGCTTCAGGGGGCGGCCAGCATAATGGGTATCCGCCGCGGACTCAGACTAGACCTCGCCATCCCTGGGGGGCTGCGAACTGCGAAATGGCCGCCGCTTGCCAGAGCTTCAGGGGGCGGCCAGCATAATGGGTATCCGCCGCGGACTCAGACTAGACCTCGCCATCCCTGGGGGGCTGCGAACTGCGAAATGGCCGCCGCTGTCGAGAGCTGCAGGGGGGCCAGCTTTTCGGGCATCCGCCGCAGATTCAAAGTAGGCCTCGCCATCCCTGGGGCGCTGCGAAGTGTGAAACCGTCGCCACTTTCGAGGGCTGCTGTCGACGCCGGGCGCAAGGACGCGAACGACCTGGACGCCCTTTGGCTGCGTCTGTGCGTGATGATCTCGAGGGCCAGGGATACAATTTCCGGATGATCCGGGACCTGGGACTAGGCTACAGGCGGATTTTGGACGAAAGACAAAACATAGCCAGAACATGCTCAAATATAGTCAATAAATAATCGTGAAATCGCCCCTGGATTATTTTTTGACTATTTTTGGATCATTATCCTCCTGTGGAGGGACGGACAGGCCCGACTTACACCTGGGATAGACTCCCTTGCCCGCGGGCGACCTCGCTCTCTTGCTGGTGTCCTTCTTAGGTCCCGCAGCCAGTGCGCCTCCCGTGCAGGCTCCGCGACAGGCCACGACGTTTTTCTGCCCTGCCATCGCCGTGCTGTCTGCAGATGGGCCGGGCACGTCGCAGGCTGCTTTTGCCTCCGCCGGCCTTCCGCCGGCGGAGCCGCCGCCGTTTTCCTTTCGCCTCCTCTTCCGCTGGCCTTCCGCCGAGAGGGAGGCAGGAGCCTCTCGAGCCCTTGAACCCAGACATCGGGCTGCGCCAATCTTTTTGCCGTGCGCGGGCCCCGGAGGTCGGGGCCACTTCCCTAGGGGCAGCTCTTCGCCCCGAGCCGCTTTTTGACGCTCCCGAGGCCCACAGAGGGCCCCCAGGGGCTGACAACGGCAAGCGCCCGCCCGCGGCAACCTTTTTGGGGAGCGTTTCGCTGGCCTCTGCCTCCCGCCGAGGAGGAGGAGGAGGAGGAGGAGGAGGAGGAGGAGGAGGAGGAGGAGGAGGAGGAGGAGGAGGGGGAGGAGGGGGGAGGAGGAGGAGGAGGGAGGAGGAGGAGGAGGAGGAGGAGGGAGGAGGAGGAGGAGGAGGAGGAGGAGGAGGAGGAGGAGGAGGAGGAGGAGGAGGAGGAGGGAGGAGGAGGAGGAGGAGGAGGAGGAGGAGGAGGAGGAGGAGGGAGGAGCCGGGAGCTCCTCGAGCCCTCGAAGGGCGAGGCTCTCGCTGGCGAGCGCCGCGCGCTCTCTCCCTTGCGGCCTCGGGGCGCCCCGACGGGCGGGCCCCCCCGCGAGACCGCGCCGAGAGGCCTGCCAGTGGCCCCGAGGCGGGCCCCCAGACGTGGCAGCGCCCCTCCCAAGGGGCTCCCATCTGCTCCCAAGCCCAGAGGTCCAACGTATGGAAAACAAATCGCGACGGGGCTTTTTTACAGTTCTCGGCCTCTGGGGGCCCTTACTGGGCCTCGGGACCATCAAGAAACGACTCAGGCCCCGGACGTGGCAGCGCCCCTCCGGGGGCTCCCATCTACTCCCAAGCCCAGAGGTCCAGCGTATGGAAAACATCGCGACGGGGCTTTTTTTTACAGTTCTCGGCCTCTGGGGGCCCTGACCGGGCCCCGGGGCCATCAAGAAACGACTCAGGATGAAAAGCCCGTCCTGAGGAGTGGGTCGAGACTTCCGGGGACCCCGCATGGAAAAAGTCACGACGTAGGATCTCTGGGAGGGCAGCTCCAAAGGGGCCTCCAGCGAGGCCCAGGAGGCAGGCGTGCAGCGGCGAGCACCGTGACTCTGGCCGTTGCTTGATGCCGCGGCTTCTCTTGAGCAGGAACCGACCGTCCCGGCATTCCTATAGTCATACCACGAAATGTTCTTAGAACCCAAAAATGTTCGCATAATAAAAACAATGTTCTTAGAACATAAACCCGATGTGTTCAAACAAGACAGTCCCAGCCAGACATGTTCTAAGAATATTTCGTGGGAGCCACACAAGGTTCTTAGAATATTGCTTGGTGGGGCTAAAGGCGAGCTTCGCCACTGCTTGATCTCTCGGCTCAGCATGGCACCCAAGAGACTCACAGGAAGCCCTCCGGCGTCCCCGAGGCCACCCCCGAGAGGGGCCCGAAGACGGGCCCAAGACACGCCCGGGAGGCTCCTCGATGGCTGAGCCGAGTCTCTTCGGGGGAGCGCCGCAGCAGCATCGCGCCCGAGACATTCCTCGGGAGGACGCATCATGGGGGTTTCGCAAAGGGTGGGGTTGGCCGAAACAAATGCCTGGAGAATTCTCCTGAGAATACGTCTGTCGCGCGCGTGACTACTCTGTTCCACGCGACGCCCATTCTAAATTAACCCGCACGCTCGCGTCGCACTTGCCTGGCGGCGACGACGACGCACCGACCCGAACGCCCGAAAAGAACGACATCCGCGAGCGGGCCGGCAAGAGGCCGTCCAGAAGCCGTTCGAGAGGGCGCCGAGGGGCCCTCTCAAGACGCCCCCCCCAAATCCCCGACTGCGCTCCGAAACAGCCCCCGAGAGGCGACGAGCCGACCGTGCAGCGTCACGGCCACGACCTGCTGCTGCATCGTAGCACTGCCTCCCAGACAGGCCGCCTCAACGATTCAACCGAGCCTGTTGAGGAGGCCTCGTGACGTCGTCCTACATCGTTTTTGGTGCTGCGCGGCACGGTGGCGGGATGTGCCGCAGGCAGCTGAGTCCGCCGCCCCCTTTTGCTTCAGCAAAGGGGTGCCTGGCGTGCCAGACCCTATCGGTTTTGGTTTTGGTTCTTTTTCTAAAAGAACTCTCCCAAAGGGCTCCGGCGCGTCCCGCCGGGGCCGCGGAAGGCCCGGAAACGAGCTCAACGACCGCAGAAAATCCCCCAAGATGGCTCGAGATGGCCTCCCAGACGGCCAAGATGGCCTCCAAGACGGCTCAGATGTCCTCACGATGCCGCCAAGACGGCCCAAGATGCACCCAAGACGGCCGTAGATGGTGTCAAGATGGCCCACGACGGCCCAAGAGGCCCCCCAGAGGCCCCGAAGACGGCCCAAGAGGCCTCCAAGAGGTCCTCCAGGAGGGCCCGAAGAGGCCAAAATCATTGATTTTCCAAAGGTTTTCGAAGGATTTTGGAATTTGCTTCTTCTCGGCATTCCGACGGCTCAAGACGGCTCAAGAGGCCCCCAAGATCGCCCAAAAGGCCCCCAAGAGGGCCCCATGACGGCCCAAGTGGCCTCCAAGATGGCCCCAAGAGGGCCCCAAGACGGCCCAAGAGGCCTCCAACAAGCCCAAGATGGCCTCCAAGACGCCCAAGATGGCCTCCAAGACGGCCCCGAAGCGCCCCAAGAGGGCCCCCCGTCGGCCCAGAAAGGCCCCCGAGACGGCTCCCGACGACGTCAGACGTGCCAGGTACCCACCAAGATGGCCGAAGTTGGCTCGAAGCTGGCCCAAAAGGGCCCAAGAGGCCTCCAAGAGGGCCTCCAGGAAGGCCAGAAGAGGCCAAACACATTGATTTTCCTTAGGTTTTTGAAGGATTTTGACATTTTCTTCTTTTCGGCTTTCCGACGGCCCGAGACGGCCCAAGAGCCCCCAAAGATCGCCGAAAGATCGCCCAAGAGGCCTCCAAGACGGGCAAGATTACCTTCAAGATGCCCACGTGTTCCCCGAAGGCTTTTCAAACCGACTCTGGGAACACATGGTCCGATGGCTTGGCAGGTCTGGCCTCAACGTTCGGCCACATAGGCGCTTCCACAAAGGCAGGGGGCGGCGGTGATTCGCCGTAGGCGTCTTCGATAATCGCAAAGCAGTCCCGCATCGACACTGGCAGGTGCACGGCCACCTAGGCCAGCACCCACCCTAGCAATCAAGGCATAAAGCGTGCGAGCTTCGGAAGAACAAACTTCCAAATCAGTCCTTTGGGCCTGACCACTCGATGAAGGATGCTTGAAGCTTTTTGAGTTTCGTTGCGCAATCCCAAGCGGACACCCTGGAACGATGTCTAGCTTCAGAAAACTGGCACTGACTGGTAGGGATTGCCAGCGGCGCCAGCAGGCATGGACGCGAACGGATTCAGCACCGAAGCGGAGCCGGGTGCGGCACCAACAGCCATGGAGGCGAAGGGATTCATCGCCGCGGTGGAGCCTGGTGCGGCGCCAACAGCCACGGACGCGAAGGGATTCAGGACCGCAGCGGAACCTGGTGGCATGGGCGGCGTGGCGGACCCCTGCATTGAGCCGTAAGGGTTGGGAACGACGCTGCCGCTGGGCACCATGAACTGACTCCCGACTGGCATGCTTGCAAACGTCGAAGGAGCCACGGGAGTTGCGCCTTCTGGCTTCGACTCCAGGGGCTGCTGCGGCTCCACGAACTGGCCCATCATGTGGACCTTGTTCGGGTCGTACGACATGTACGAGTTGACGACCTGAGGCTGGACCGCAGCCTCCATCGGGAAGCTGACTTGCCGTGACCCCGGCGAAGAGATGGGGGCCACCTGAGAGTACGCGGCAGCCATGTGTGCCGGTACGCTGAACGACATGGTCACGTACTGCTGCCCTCCCTGTAGGCCGCCTTGCTGTAATGATCGCGCTGCTTCTGCCATCTGTGGGCTTGCTGTCATCGCTCCGCCGGCCGTCGCAGCGGCAACGCTCTGGCTCATGCTCACGGGCACGTGCTCCACGCGCTCAACCTCCTGAACCTGCGTGATCGGGGTCTCGACGTACTTGTCGACGTAATACTCCTGTATGTACGTCTGCGGGACGAACTGCTCCACTTCCCGGACACAGTACTCGATCTCGGGGACCTCGACGATCTTGTCCACTGGAACCTCACGGTATTCGATGAAGTCCTCATACTCGATTCTCTCCACGTAATCAATCTTTGGTACCTCGATCAGCCGCTCCTGGACCTCCCGCCTCGGCACGTGCACGACACGCTCCTCCACCACGACCTGTGGCACCTCGACGATCTGCTCCTGGTACTGCACGCTGGGAGGCCCGACGAAGGTGCGCTCTCTGACCTCCGTCTTCGGCACCTCGATGATGCGCTCCACGACCTGTGGCTTGGGAACCTCTCGCGTCCGCTCCCTCACGATGACCTGGGGGACCTCGACGATCTTCTCGAACGTGTAGATGGGCTTCACGCTGTTCACCAGCTGGTTGCGGATCTCCAGCAGCCGCTCTCCCACCACGCGCTGCCCCCCGTAACGTACGTCCACCGCACCGTCGTACAAGGTGCTGTCGGCATACTGCGTGCCGTCGTAGATGCCGTACGGGTCTCCGCCAGCCCGGCTCTCCTGAGAGGCCGCCGCGGCATCGTCCGCCTGGGCCTCCGCGGCGGGCTGCGTGCCCATTGCAAAAGGGTTCTGGCCAGGAGCGATGCTGCCCATCACCTGCGTCTGCATCGGCGCGGCGGGCTGGGCGTAGCCCCCTCCCGGGGCGGCACGGGAGTAGCCAGACCTCTGCATCTCAGCCATGATGTCCGCCTCGCTGTACTGTCCCTGGGACATCGAGCCGTACGGGTACGACATCGCACCGATGGCTGAGCAAGCGCCTTGCTGCGCAGTCGAAATGCAGTTGGAAACTTTATGCTTGTAAGGTCACGTGCATTGTTTCAGCCAAGATGGCTTGCGCCAAAGTGGCTGCGGCACCTGGCGGCTGCGGCCCCCTGTGGAAGATCCCATGCCCGTGGCACCTCCGCAAGCATTCGGAGGCCTCGGCAGACCTTCCCAAACCATGTCTGCAAGGCAGCGATGGCCTCTCGATATCGGGGAGACGTAAGACTCGAATCGAGGAAGAGGAGGAGGGGGAGGAGGAGGAGGAGGAGGAGGAGGAGGAGGAGGAGGAGGAAGGAGGAGGAGGAGGAGGAGGGGAGGAGGAGGAGGAGGAGGAGGAGGAGGAGGAGGAGGAGGAGGAGGAGGAGGAGGAGGAGAGGAGAGGAGAGGAGGAGGAGGAGGAGGAGGAGGAGGAGTAGAGGAGGAGGAGGAGGGGCGGAGGCGGAGGCGGAGAAGGAGAGGAGAAGGAGGGGAGGAGGAGGAGGAGGAGGAGGAGGAGGAGGAGGAGAGGAGGAGGGGAGGAGGAGGAGGAGGAGGAGGATGGGTCGCCCAAGCCCTTCGGAGCCAGGGCAGGGGGCCCCTTGGAAGCCCTCCGGGTCTCCAGGAAGCCTCCCTACAGAAGCCTCTCGGCTGCACGCAAGAGCGGCCGCATCCACAGTGCGCGGATTCAGGGGGCGCAAGGCGGCCGCATCCAATCGCGCAAGCAGCCGCTGTCGCATCGCGCTCGGCGTTTGGGGGGCCCCTGTGAGCCCGCACCAAAGGTCACTCTGGCGAAGGGTCAGTCGTACGTGTAGTCGAACCCCGCTGCCCCTTAGCTGCCCTCGAAAGGCCCGCTGGCTAAGCGGCCGGCGGACCCGGCGCGCTTCGCTCCGCTCCCTATAGAAGGCCCCGAGTCCTTCTGTAAGAAGCCCCCCCGCGCCTTCTAATATGCCCACCTGTCGTTTTGTTACCTTGTTTGGTGGTGCGCGCCAGGGGGAAGGGGTAGGGGGGAAGGCTTCTTAGAAGGAGGCTGCTTCTCACAAGGCGTCGGCCTTCCATCTGTATAGGTCAGGCCCACGCCTTCTGAGAAGCAGGGGTGCTTCTGAGAAGCCTTCCCCCTCCTCCTGACCCCCTTCTGCGCGTGGCTGAGCCCGCCTTCTCCAACACCTGGTGTGCGCCGCCAGCTTCGGGTCATCATCTCGGGCATCCAGCAATCTTTCGGAACGCTCCGGGCACCCCAGGAGCGCTCTCGGCGAGGCGCAGCTGTTGGACCGAGACTTCCCCAGCAATGCAGGGCAATGGCGAACAGAAAACATTTCGATATAGGTTTTAGATAGGTTCAAAAGTAGGTTCGGGAGATAGGTTCGCAAGCATAGTAGGTCCCAGGAAGAAGGTGCAACGCGCGGGGAAAACGTGTCATCGGGCAGATAGCCTCCCGTTACTGGGTTTGCCAAAGCGCGTCGGCGCAAATGCCGCGGGCAGCTAAGTTGGCGAAGCGAATTCGCCAAACTAGCCCTGGCGAGTGCACCCGGGGACGTTCCCTGGCCGCGGTAACCTCGCCAAGAAGGTTTGCAATGAAAAACGGCGTCAGGGCTGCATTTCAGGCAGGGGCCGCGACACGTTTCGCGCGATGCACCCTCGGGCACTAAACATAGAAAATTAACGAGAGCGGCTGCGGAGAAGACCTCCGAAAACACGACCCGCCAGAAAAGCAGTCACGACGATGGGCGACCCAAAAATCAATTGGGGCAGCCCCGGCAACTGGCACGGCGAACAACGCAACTCAAGGAATCCCGGACAAGCCGGGCCGCCACCAACAATCACCCCGTACCAATACCGTGCCCCGGCGGGGTTCGGACACGCCATGGCTCCTCCTCATTATCACGGCCGCCCCGCCCAAGGTCATTCTGCCCTCCCCAAAGCCACTCGTTATCAATCACATCATGCTTCCCATCATCGCCCCCCTTGCCTCACCATCCTCCCCCTCGTCAGCCGCAGCATCCACGTTCTCATCCTCCTGCCCCCGATCCTCCCCGCCCTCCCCGCCCCCCCCTCCTCCTCCTCCTCCTCCTCCTCCCCCCCCTCCTCCTCCCCCCCCTCATATTCCCCATCTTGTTCCTACCTTTTCCCCCTCATCCCCCCTTCATCCGCCCCTCATCCTCCGCCCGATCCTCCGGGTCCTCTTGGTCCTCCTCCTCCTACTCCTCTCTCCTGTTCCTCCTTCCTCCTGGCCCTCCGTTTCCTCGACCTGGCTCTCCTCCTCCTCCTCCTCTTCTTCCTCCTCCACATCCTCCTCCCGGCTCTCCTCATCCACCTCCTCCTCCTCCTCCTCTCCCATTCCTCTTCCTCCTCCTCCTCCTCCCCCACATTCTCCTCCACCTCCTCCTCCTCCTACCTTCAATCCCTGACCTTCCATGCTTCCGAAAACAGTTTGAAGTAGGTTTGAAATAGGTTTGAAGTAGGTTTGAAGTAGGTTCGAAGTAGGTTTGAAGTAGGTTTGAAGTAGGTTTGAAGTAGGTTTGAAGTAGGTTTGAAGTAGGTTTGAAGTAGGTTTGAAACCTACTTTGAGGCCTCCGAAACCTACTTTGAGGCTCCTAAAACCTATTTTGAAGCCTCCGAAACCTACTTTGCGCTACCGAAAACCTACTTTTGGAATCCGGAAACCTTCTTTGGAACCTACTTTGCAAAAACAAATTCTGCAAACCTACTTTCCGACCTACTTTGGGGGCGCGGTTCCTTGAAACATCAGCACACGCTTGCCCGAGCCTTTCCCAGAAGTCGCCCCCGGGGGCGGCGCGCCAAAAAAGGAATCTGCGAAGTACCCCCAGAAGGTGAGCAAACCCAAAACACTTGTAGGTTGCCCCCGACAGGCGGGAGCCCCCCAAAGGGGGCGGTCTCCCCCCCCCCCCGAGGGTCGAGGATCGAGCGCGATTTCGCTGTCGGGCGACAAGCGAACGTACCGCGACAGGACAGGGCCTTTTGGCAGCCCCCCCGCTGGCGGGCAGGGGGCCGCCGCCTGGCGCCCTAGGTTCTTCAGAAACCAAACCTGATGCGGCCGCCCCCCGCCCCCCGGGGCCCCTCCGGGCCCGGCCCGACGGAGGCGCCACTCCCCTTCCGTTTCTCTTTCCTCCTCCCACCTCTCTCCACCTCCTCTCCTCTTCCACGCGCCCTCATTATTCCAGCCTCCCTCCACCTCCTCCCCCCGGAAACGCCACCTCCCCCCTACCCGCCTTCTGGAGCCCCCCACCCTCCCGTTTCTGACCTTCTTAACCTTCCTGGTCCTCCCTCTCGCCCCCCCCCCCTCCCCCTTGCTCGGGCCCGCGGCCCTCGCCCCGCCCTCCATGCCCCACTTCCCGCTGTGGTCAGACCAAGGGGGAAACGCAATGCCCCCAGATCTCAGGACGGAGGTGGTTTAGAGCGCTTCCTGTTCCAACAACCCCCAGTCTTCCCTTCGGGGATGGATGCGCCCCTCCCCCCCCCTCCTTCCGGGGCCTGCAATGGGGGGCGGCGGATCGGTGGAGCGCCCGGGACGGTCAAAGATAGAGCCGGCATGACCTCGCAGAATGCAACGCGGTCTCACAGATGGTTCAAGATAGCCCAAGATGGATCAACATTGTTTCCCGCATGCTCCAAGAAACCCAAATACCGCTCCGAGACCGCCCCAAGCGGCCGCGGAGCCACCCAATAACACCCCCGAGAAGCCGAAATCTTTCCAAATCGTACGAGACACGAATGAATTGGGCCTTTTGGTCCATGCGCTTCCGAAGACTTTGGAAGCCTGAAGATAAGCCCCGAAGGAGTCCAGAAGAACCCAAGACAGCGCACTTCACGAATTACTCGGCTGGCTTGCTAGCAGAAGCCGCGCCTTGCCGGCGGCATTCCAGCATTTCCCCGAGAAGCTTGTTTGGAAAATATCATTACTGACCCGATCCCGACAAGTTACTTTTGATATTGTGTTCCCGACAACCTTTCCTGGAAAGCTACTTTTGCACATGAATGTCGCATTCCTTTCCCCTGAAAGTTTCTCGCGGCAATCGGTTTCGCCATCCTTTCCCTTCGAGTTACCTGCGCCGACCACTGTTGCCAGGCGCGCTGCAGACCTACTTCGCCGACCTACTTCAGGAGCTACTCTAAACCTACTTCATTTGTTTTGCGCCTCAAGCAAGCCCTGCATTCAAAGGGAAGTCTCGGCTGTTGGAGAGCCTCCCGAGGCCGGAAGGGCCGCGGGAATCTGCGAGCGCGCCCTCGGGCCTCGAACCTCACGCCTCGACCCCCGCCTCCCTTTATGCACCGCTCCTCGCCACCCCCCTCCCGGCCTCAAGGCCGTCCTGCACACGCACCGCCCAGGGCTCCCCGTCCCCGCCCCGCGCGCGGCGGGAGCGGCGAGCGCAACGCCCTCCTCCCCGCCCTCCTGCCGCCGTTGCCGCTGCTCCAGCTCCTCTCGCCGCGGCCGCTGCCGCTGCCGCTCCTGCTCCGGCTCTTCCGCCCCTCCACTCATCCAGGAGCGCCTCAAGAGGAGAGCCCAGGAGGCGACTCTGAGGGCCCCAGAGCGGGGACCTGGAGATGGTGCGCCCCCCCCTTTGTCGATTGACGGCCTCCAAGACGGCCCCAGGAGGCCCTCCAGAGCTCCCCAGAGGGCCCAAAGAGAGCTCCCAAAGGGCCCCAGGAGGGCCATGATCGCAGGCCACTGAGGGAGAGAGAAAGAGAGAGAGAGAGAGAGAGACAAATCCGACGGTTCAGCAAAAAACCCAGGGGGGGTCCATCGGAGAGGACCTTTTGTCACCCTGGCGGGAAGGCCGCATGCCTGCCAGGGACCAAGACAAGACCCCCCTAGGACAAATCACAACCGTCATGCTCGTCCTCGGGCATGTCAGCCCGCTCCTTTCGCAGAAGTCGGGTCCCCAGGCTACGGGCTTCCACCTCGTTGAGACCATAAGCCTGCAAGCAGTCGGCCATGCAGAGATCCCGCCCAGCTTGGCGACTCGGGGCAGCCACGC